CTTATATCACCTCCTCCTCGGGGGGGGGGGGGGCAGCCTTGCCAAGCCACAGAGGAAGATGATGCAGCCAGTCCTGATGAGACCTGATAGACTAGGGTCAGATAGAAGGGGAGGAGGACCTCCCCTATAAGGAGACTAGGGAAAGGGCATAGGGGAAGAAGAGGGAGGGTGGATGGGACTGGGAGGAGATGAGGGAGGGGGCTACAGATGGGATACAAAGTTAATAAATTGTAATTAATTAATTAGTTAATTAATTAATTAATTAATTAAAAAGACTACCCACCCCTACATCTCCTAGAGGCCCAAGCCAGAGACCAGTGGGAAAATCATCCTTGTAACTTCCCTGCCTTTCTCTTACACCCCCAGGCTTTGTTCTAAAGGCAGAATATCACCACCCTGCTCTGCCTTCATTGTCATTTCTCTAGGGTGGGTGGCCCTCATCAACCAATTAGTTTAGTGCAGTCAGTTCCCAGATTCTGTCCCTGCCTTTCTTAGGCTCCACTCTCAGAGCTAGGAAACATTTGCTAGAATTTTAGTTTGTCTATAAGGCTTGTTTGCTTAACCCTTCACTGACCTTGGCACAAGAGCCACAGACTCCCCTTACAGGGGTGATGTGAGTGCAGGTAATAGTTCTGAACAGATGCTCTTTTCACAGCCCATTTGTGTTTCGGTTTTTTAGATTGTCATTATTTTTTAACTATGTGTGTCTCTGCATATGCATAAGAGTACTTGCCCTCGGAGGTCAAAAGTCATCAGATACTAGACTTAGTTATGTGTTGCAAAACGTTGGTGCTGGAAACAGCGCACATTCCTGCCCAGCTATCTCATGCTCCTTCTGCCCTTTGCATTTCATACTATTTGCAAGCATGCCTTGTACTCTAACTCCTGGAGGTCTTTGCACAAGTTCATTCATCTGCATGGAACACTTGGCCACCGTGCTTATTCCTGCTTTCCCCAGGATCCCAGCTGGGACCTTGTCTTCTCTGGACATCCTTTCTTAGGCTTCAATGTCCATCATATCTGTCCTCTTGGGGGCTCTTCACCTTGTGCTTCTCCCTGCTCTGTGGTACTGTAGAGAAGCCGGTGTCTGCAACCTTTCCGAAATTGCTTCCTCGGTACAGAGATAGTATATATTGGTAATGCTCAGTAAATACTTGTTGAGTGGGAAGGGGTTTAAACATGCTTCCCTGAATGTCCAAGTGACAGATTTCTTCTGCCTCCGGAGTTTTCTTGGTGTGCCGAAACAGTAATAAGCTTAAAAATAGGAATGATGAATGAGGGAAGGGGCTACAGCTGGGATACAAAGCAAATAAACTGTAATTAATATAAAAAAATAAAATTTTAATTGAAAATAGGAAATGACAGTGAAGGAATATCACAGCAAGCTAATATTTGTTTTAAAGGGTACCTTTATGTTTAATTGGCACATAGTAATTATACATATTTATGGGATTGAGTATGGCCTTTCAGTATCATATATTTAATGTTTAATCAGCAGAGCAGGATGATTGATATGGCCATTACCTCAGACATTTATTATTTCACCCAAACTCCTGTATACTAGCTAATGGGGAATCTAAGGAGTTGCCAACTACAGCTATCCCACTGTGCTGCAGGACATTAGCTCCTTTACAAAGACACAGTGTACCCCTTAATTTCCCCCTCCTCACACAGTCTCTAGGCTTTGATAACTTTTTACCTTCCACATGTAAGTGAGAATACATGGAATTTGTGTTTCTGTGCCTAGAGCAACTCCTAGAACTCCTGCTTTCCTGGCTTCACACTGTGATGGCTAAAGCTGTGTTTAAGCTTAAATTACTGTGCTTAAAAGATCCATGTAACAAAAATACCTCTGATCCATAAGCCCCCACTTGCCCAAGGACAGACAACTTCCTGGAATACTGAAGGCTGTTCATATAGGAAAACAAGTCCCGTGTTTTCACTTCTGTTCACAAGCTTGGTTTCACCGACTGCACAGGATGTGTGCTTGATCACACTTAGGGAGGAGTTATGAAGGCAGGAAGTATGTCAGGATGTATGCTTGACCCCAACTGGACAAAGATGGTAAGTATGTAGCTTTGTGAATTTTGCATTGCTAAGCCCCTGTCTAAAATAATTTGGCTCTATATAACCTAAGAATTCTGGCTATGGACCTGACCGGTATTTAATGAAGCTTGATTCAACTTTAGTCAAAAAAAAAAAAAATTGTGGTAGTGTTTGTATTCTTGCCCTGTAGGATTAATACCACACACTGAGATTACAGGCATGAATACTCGGTTTACAGTAGATTCTAAGTGATTCTGAAATCAGCTTGAGACCTCTCCTATTCTGAGTCAGTCTTCTGAGACAGGTTGATCTAAAGGAAGAACAGTGAGACAATTAAAACAGTGCACAGGAGAGCCATGGATACAGCTCAGCGGTGGAGCTCCTGCCTGGTGTGTGCAAGACCTGGATTAAATCCCCGGTGAGCACACACACAAATGCACAGGACACCTCATACACCATTACCATATTCATACTTACTAACATGATCATTTTCCTATGGAGAAATAGATATCAAAATGGTACAATGTAAAATGTCAAGGGCCTGTGATTACAGAGGTCTTAGGCGACAGGGAGAGTTTACTGCTGTTATTCTGATAAAAGGACATGGTATTAAGTGGCTGCTAATACTTATCCCTGTACCCATAGGTTATCATATCTTTCAACCTGCATTAGAGAAACATCTTACAGTAGTCAGTAACACAGACTCACAACTGGTCAACATGCAGAGAATAAGACTGAGGAACGCTAAGCACTGAATGGGATGTCTGCCATACCCCTCCCCCAAAGGCCCAGGGATCAGCTAAGAAGGGGTAGAGCGACTATTAGAGCCAGAGGCCGCTGAGGACTGCAAGCAAACAGTGTTATGCAGACACAGAAGGATGAACCCACAGCAAGTCTTACAGCATGCATGAGGCTTGGGCCAGCTCAGGGCAGACAAAACCCCAGTATGGCGGTGGGGAGATGGATGGACACAAATTCCTGCCCTCACCTGAGGAGCTGTGAGCATGTGATTGCTGCTGGGAGGAAGAGGCAGTTTCCTTAAGGATATGACCCTTGGTAGATCATGCCCAACAATATTTTAGTAACACAAATTGAACTCTTGGTGGAGAGAGAGAAACAAAATTGGGAGGGTAGGGAAGTGGGTGGATCTGGGATGAGTTGGCTGAAGAATGGGCATATTAAAAATACATTATATGGAATTCTCAATTCATTAAGAAAAATATTATTTAAAAAATCACCAATCAATGAAGGACTGAATAAGCTGAAGAACTGCATCGTGTCTCATCTCTGTCTCTCACTTTGGGGGACACGGGGAAAGGGAAGGGCGTGGTCTGTGGATCCACAGCTAGCTAGAGGCTTATTCCGTATTTCCTGGGGCTATCTGGCTCCCATTGCACCTTGGGTAATGGAGGGCAAGGCTTCAATGGAACCTTTTATCACCACTGGAGGTGTTTTAACCCTTGCATGATTTACAGCAAAATGTCTCTGGCGAGCAGTTTATTTGGCCCAGGGCTCCATAACGCTTATTACTGATTACAAAGGAGTGTGTTGGCCCCTGGGAAGTTGCAATAGACAGTACCCTCAAAGTGTAAGCCAAAATAAATCCTTTATTCCGTAAGAAGCTTTTCTCAGGTGTTTTTGTCATAGCAGAAAGCGAAATAACTGTAGTCTTCCTCACACTCAGAATCTAGCTGGGGTATGCCCGTTAGGTATGCACCCAGAATTAACTGTTCCATAACATAAGATTTTGGGATAAATTCTGTCCTCGAGAATGTTTCCACCCTAGCTGTAAACTCCTGACAATATGATCTCACCTGGAAAGACAATCCCTGCAGATGGGAAGATCTGGTAGAAATGTGGGCACTGTATCAATAAACCAACGAATTTCAACGTGCCTAGCAACCACGTTAAGACGGATCCTTTCGACTATTTCTAACAGGAACTCAATGGCTGGCTCTTTGACCTCCCCACCCCCCAAGGGAGGAGCAGTCCTGTTAGGCCACAGAGGAGGACTTTGCAGCCAGTCCTGAAGATACCTGATAAAACAGGATCAGATGAATGGGGAGGAGGACCCCCCCCATCAGTGGACTTGGAAAGGGGCAGGGAGGAGATGAGGGAGGGAGGGTGGGATTGGGAGGGAATGAGGGAACGGGATACAGCTGGGATACAGAGTTAATAAAATGTAAGTGATAAGAAAAAATAAAAATAAAATAAATAAATAAATAAATAAATAAAAACTAAAATTAAAAAAAAAAAAAGACGGATCCTTTCTCAGGGGCTTCAGAGAGAACCTGGTGCATCTCAGACCAAGATGCATTCAGACATGCACCTTTCCCAGGACTGTGGGAGGATAGGTTTAGATTATTTTAAGATACAAAGAGTGTGGTACATTGTTATAGAAGCCTTAAGAATGAGGCACACAGAATGTCTAATTTTGTATTAGGGGCACCTAAGTTTTTATTACTTCTATTATAGCAAATTTAGGGCCAAGCTGAATGACAGTATCTGCCATATTCAGCATTCCTGCAGCCCCAGGAGAAATGATTGTTCTATACTTTTTTTTTCAAGACAGGGTTTCTCTGTGTGTAGCCTTGGCTGTCCTGGACTCAGTTTGTACACCAGGCTGGCCACGAACACACAGAGATCCACCTGCCTCTGCCTCCCTGAGTGCTGGGATTACAGGTGCGTGCCATTGCGCACAGCTGATTGTTCTATACTGAATATAAATATCCTGTTTGAGTAACTGGATAAGGAAAAAAAAACTTAATTAGTTCAAGAAAAACAGTTACGCACAGTGCGAGTGTATCCGTCTGTATGTGTATTTGGTCAGAAAGGGCACTATCCGTATGGAAAGATTATTTTTACATAGGCCAGAGTTTGATATAGGGTTTCTACTTAAGTCTGTTTGACAAGGATATGACAGCTCTTCCCTGACAATGTTGAATACTCCAGAGTCTAAGAAGCTTGTTCTGCTTTATTGAAATTCAAGGAAACAGCCTAGGAAGTGATCATGATTTCAATTTTGACTACAGCCAAATAGCATCCCAGCAATTCTTCGTCCATGTCTATATGAATTAACGCATAAGCCTTACTTGTTAGCCTCCCAATAAGCAGCATTAACATTTAATCAAAACACTTCACTGGTGCAAAGCTTCGAAGGCTGGCCTTGTGGGTACTATGATCCATTATCTCCTTGATTTAACTGAAAATCTTCTTTACTGATTCCACGCATTTCTCATCATCAAAAGGCTTCCTCTGGCTACCAGGCTGAAGAAACTTCTTCACTGTGGGGAGGCTGCTGACTCTGGTTCTCAGGGCCTGCAACAAACAAGTCAGAGCCTCAGAGAGCAGCCGAAGAAAATGCAACTGTTGGCACAGCCCTGTGCCCCTGCCAGCCAAAAGACCAACCGAATCCCTCCATTAGCAGCAGGATAGAGGTTCGAGACAGATACTCAGAAAAAAAATGAAGATGAGAGAAAGAAAATAGAGATTCCCCTCCCCCAATATATCTTAAAGATTCATTCTGTTAGAGTCATTCCCATCTTCTTCTTCGGGCTTTAATCCTGCAGACTCATCACTTCTGTAGAGTTTAAGGATGAGCAATTTGTCTCTCAGATACTGACACATACACACACCCAAACAGATAAAATGAAGATCTGGGATAACAGAGTCAAAAATGGTGGTAGGAAGTAGAACAGGAAAATGTACCAACCTTCACACTGAGAAAGAAAAGTGGAAGTAGTTGGGGGGGGTGGCAGTATGGCACAATGGGTAGAGCACTTGCCTGGTATATGCCAGGTTTAATCCCTAGCACCGCCACACAAAACAAAGAGAAGTAAAACGAGCAGGAGGGCTAAAGAATGGCTCAATTGCCAGAGTGCCTGCTACACAAGCATGAGGATGTGAGTTTGCATCTCCTGAACCCACACAGAACCTAACAGAGTAGTATGTGTCCTTGCCCAGTGCTGTGCTATACAGACAGACAACTACGAAATCCATTGGTCAGCCAACCTAGTTGAACAGATGAGCTTCAGGCCCAGGGACAGACTGTATTTCAATAATAATAATAATAATAATAATAATAATAATAATAATAATAATAATAATAATAATAAATATGGCGTTAACCAGGAAGACATCCTATGTCTACCTCCAGCTTCCATATGCATGAGAACATGCGCACACCCACATGAACACATACATACAACTAACACACACACAGTGGGAGCTGTTGTATTGGCAAAATAAATTTGTGAAGGAGGTCACTGTAACGAGAAGTATAATGTTAACCTAGAAGCTTGAAAGGGACCTCTCCAGATAGGTTCAGTGTGGAAGGACAAGTGGAATCCCATTGAAGTCAGTATCAAATCCAAAGTGAATATGGGTATGGGGAGAATGAGATTCTGGATATATACAAGACAAAATATACAATCTTGAGATATCATCTACTTCAGATTTTCTTATTTAATGTAATTTTTTTTTTCATGTCTCAGAACTAGGGTCTAAAATCTCATTTTGTAGCTATGGCTGGGGGAGAAGGGTAGTCACGAAGGCCAGAAGAAACTGGAAGTTAATCACATCACCTTGATGGTCAAAATATTGGATTCCATGATATAAGTAAGATATGGGCTGTCCCATATCTTGGGACAGGGCTTGAACTAGAGTACCTTCAGCAGAGGGAAGCTGGCCATGATGCTGGGGTCTAGCTCTTCCACAAGGTAGAGAAGTTCAGCCAGGGAGACATCAACCCTGCTCAGCCTATTGCCAACGAGATAATCTTGTCCATGGCTCTTCAGCACCTGAGGAATTCAAGATGTTAGTTAGATCTTGAAGACAACTGCCATCAGACTGAAGCCCCTTGATTTTTTTTCTGAGGCTCTCAAATAAAATTTCCTTGCACTACATTTTTGGGTACATATGGGGCCCCGTACTCCTCTCTAGACTCTGACCCATGATAAAATTCAAGAAGCAGATCTCTGCCCATCATTTTGCTGTCTGTCCTATACCCATGCCAAGCTCCGAGATCACCAGTACTATTTCTTCATGTACCCCTACAAATAAAGGGCAAAGCCCTAATATTAGAGGGTGAGCCCTCACTGTATTCTGTAGTCTCTTACTGGGAAGTGGCTTCACCTATGTGAATGCACCCTTCGAATATGAGTAGACTATTTCAGGAACCACATTCTTCCTTGTTCTGCTCTCCCAGTAACTAGAATAAGCCTGAATCGTCATTTCCTCTGTAACATTGGCTTAGGCTCTTTTTGTACTATGGGATCCTCTGCAGTGCTGAAGCATTTAAGAGTTAACTGCAGATATGTCTGTGATTAATTTTGAAATGCTAGAAAAAAAATAACATGATTAGCTGATAGAAAGAAGAGTATGTAGGCAAGGAAGCCGGGAGGAAAGGACACATTCAACAAACAGGATATCAGTGTTGTCTTCAATTAGATGATAGGCATGTGTTCCTTAAACCAACACACTCTGCATGTACGTATGCATGTATGTATGTATGTATGAATATGTATATGTATGCATGTGTATATATATATGTGCAGTCAGAGTTTCATGGAGCAGACTGGCCTCAAACCCACTGTGTACTTAAATTAGCCTTGTCTTGAACTAATCTTTCTAATTCTATCTCTTGAGCACCAGGTACAAGTATGCATCACCATGCCTGGCTCAACTTCTGTACATGGATGAAAGTTTTTAGAAAAAAAAAAAAAAACACTGGTGTAATGGAAGTTTTGGGTTGTGTTATGTAAATATGTTTCTGTTTTAATCCCAAGTGTGGGATTTTGGTTGGGCTATAGTTTATCCACAGCTGTTAATTGTTTCATGTGGGGTGTGGCCTTTCCCTCCCGCCTCTGTGACTGAGCATCTGTGTCTCCCCAAATCAAGGGGATAAGAACCCCACCCCACAACATGATTCTGTTAGTAAGTAGTAATCTTGAGAGGGGAATAGTAACTGGTTAAGTGCTCATGAATGGCATTCCTGCTCCCAACAAAAAGACTCCAGAAAGCTCCCATACCCCATCTACAATAGAAGACACAGATAGAAGGCAGACATCTATGACCCAAGGAGTAAGTCCGGCCAGACACCACTCTTCAGGGTCTTGATTTTATACTTCATAGCATAGCACACTTTGCTATAGTAACTTTACCTGCTCTGATGCCTCCTGAGGACAAATACCTCATTTGAATCCTTGAAAAGTCAGTCAGCCTCTACTCACCTTTTCAAAGGCAGGGAAGTAACGGTTCCTTGCTTTGTCCTTGATTTTGGCAAGGGCTTCCTCTTTCTCCCCAGGTGGCATGTAGGGGTAATAGAGAACCATTAGCTCCAGATCCGCCACACCTTCTGCATACATGTCAATGCTGAAAAACAGACAAGCATTCTGCCAAAGCCTTCTTGTCTCAGATTTTATACTTAACAGATGTAAAAGGCAGCGGTAAAATAAGCTCACCTCTGATGGGCCTATGGAGCCAGTAATAATAACCTGGGTTTTACTTCTAGATAGGCGAAGCTTTTTGAATTTTCAAAAATATATTCAGAATCTCTCTGAATAGCTCTGGGTGGCCTGTAATTCGTAATGCTGACAGGTTGGTCTTAAACTCACAGAAATTTGCCTGCCTTTGTCACTGAGTATATGAATCAAAGGAAAACAGCACCACATCCTGTAACATTCCCTATTAAATGGCCAAAATCTCCATCCATTCTTCTGTTAACACATGGCTCATTTTATGCTTCTTGAACATTAAAAATAACACATATATGCACATTCATGTAGTATTATTCCTGCAGATGTATTTTCATTTCTCTGGTGTATTTATCTAGCAATGGAACTGCTGGGTTATTGGTGAGTTGATATTTAACTTCTAGAGAAACTGCTAAAGAAACGTCCACATTCCACAGAAGATTATAGTTTGAGTGGAATGGTTCTATCACAGGAGAGAGGAGGCCTGATGACCAGGCTTGACAGCTCCTAACAGCCTGCAGTTTCCTGGAAAAGCTTCAGGTCTGCACCAGACTCTATAAGCCACAAGCAGCCCGACTCTGTGTGTATTTAATGGTAATGTAAGGTCGTGGCTGTGTGTCTTCTAATTGCCAGAACTAGGAGATCAGTTCATTGGCTCCTTGTCTTTATTGCTGGTCAAAGACTTGGCCTTTGTCCAAAGCTATTGGCTAGAATATTGCTTCCAAGGACTAAACAAGTGGATTCCACCATGTCCTATTCTACAACAACACATGCCTAACCACTCATATTCTTCCCTCATCTCCTCTCATCTCTTTAGCACTCGTCTCAACTGTTATTATGAGCGTTTGTACACTAAAGCACCCTCGGTGTTCATTAGTCCCTCGCCATGGTTCTGTTCACTCAAGATAAGACCTATATCTTTCCCATAACGAGGAAAACTGCCCCATACATGGCTCTCTCCTTCATATCCTTCCCGTAGAGGTTGTATTTGGCGGCAATGTAGTTGAGAATAGCTTTGGTCTGCACCAGCTTCATCCCATCAATCTCCACCATAGGCACTTGCTCGAACATCAAACTCCCATCTATTGGATGAAGCAAAGAAAAAAGAAAATAAGGTTTCTGTTGTCATACACATTCTAGGGTCATACACATGCCAAAAAAAAAAAATTTGAATAGACTGAAATTTTTAAAATAACTAATTACTTGGCAACTTTTTAATGAAATCCTATTCTTTTTTTTGTTTGTTTGTTTGTTTTCTGAATCTTTACTGTTGTCTAAGTTTTAGCTTATTATTTTATTGGTGTTTTTATTTCATATCCAGAATACTAATTCTGTATCTGCCACACAGGATATGATACAGTGAAGAAGGTAAAGGAGGTACTGAGAGACCAAAGAATTCAAAATTAGTTTGTTTGTTTGTTTGTTTTTTGGGGGGGGAGTTAAAGTTTAAAGCACAATCCTGAACCAAGGCCAGCCAGGTGGAGATATGTCCAGCCACCTGCGGGGGGAGGAACTAATCTTACTGAATTATTTTCCTGCCCACTACAGATACAGTTGCTAGGAAAATGGCCCAGATGGCCAGGCCAGAACCATTTATTGACTTGGCACCTAAAGTAAACCAATCATTTCAAAAGTCAATTTCCCTTACCCAATCATGTAACGCCAAGGCATGTAACTCCCTGCTTGCAGTTTTGCCCTTTAAAAATCTTGTTCCCCTAGACTGCCCCGCTGCACTCCTCCTCCTCTTCACCAAGGAGGTTGCTGTGACCTGGGCTCGAGCTTGTATTGTATAAACCCTCATGTGTTTTGCAACGGACTAGACCTCTGGTGGTCTTTTAGGATCTCGATATCTGAGTACAACAGTACAAGCCAACAGTCAGATGGCACCATTTAAAGAAAGACAGAGTCTCAAAGTCTCTTGCTGTTCATGACATCAAGACATAATCATAAACCTGCGTCTATATAGGTTCCTATGTGTTTTTCACTAACAGCAAGAGGCAGTGTGTGCTTTCCAACTAAGAGCAAGAGACAGTATTTTCTGGGCATGCCCAGTGACCCTCATCCACAGGTGTTGGACTTCCTGCTTCCCCCCATCCTCTCTCATAGTGTTCCACAAAACCATCATAATCTTTCTATTAGTCCTATAATTCAGCATTCCTATGGAATTATTTTGTTAAAGCTGTTAGAACTCAGGATAAGTGATTGATTTATATTTTCTCCTGACATCGTGAATTGTGTATAGATGGTGAGCATTGTGGGAACCTGAGGTAACTGCAGTGAGCATGGAAAAGCAGAGACGGGACATTCATGGGGCTCTGGGGTGGTTTCACAGCAAATACAGAGACAGAGAGAGAGTTTCAGCCCCCTTAACTCAGATATTTATCAGATGTGGTCACAGAAACCTGTGACTACAATTTACCACCCTTTCATTAATTACAATTAACAGGTACTGTCTAATGTTAAAAGCTTCCACTAGAAACCCTCTCAAGAGCACTTTGATCTTTGCTCTTACCATTCCGTAACCTTGTCAAGTCATCCCGGGTTTTCAGATATTTTTCTTCAAACTAGAAAACAGAAAGAAAAAATGAGTTTCTGTTAAGTAATTTCACTGTATTCCAGGATTTTCGCTTTAATAACTCCTGACTGTAGATATGAAAAAAAAAAGATTTTTTTTAATTTGTCAAGTACACAGGTGAGCTAATCATGCATTATGGGAATTTAAAGCAGGGCTCTTAAAAAAGGAGCAATGGTCATATCACATCCCTTCTCCTAACTGCAGTTGCTGTCATCTCTACCAGAACTATTCCTATGTTGGTGATTAAGTCATGAGTTACAGAAATGCCATTGGAGGAAAAATGCTGATTGTTTCTTCTGGCTATGTATTTGTAATATTTCAGCCTATTCCCATGTAGGTTCTGAAGGAACATTGTGGGCCTCCAGCATGGAACCTGGCACAGGCCATTGTCTAACATCCTGCCAATAGGCTTTTGCTCTGATCACAACACTTCTGTCCTCAGGAGCCCTGCTGTGGGTGAAGCAGATCTTGTTTGATACAATACTTTACTCTTGCAAGTAAAATTGCCTCACCTGAGAAATGGGGACAAAATTATATATAATTCCTGATTTAAGAAGAAATACCTTGCACTGTTTTTCATCACTAAGATCTCTGGATTCTGAGATGGCTTTGTGAGTTGCATATGACTGTCTGAATGAATTAAGTCCTTTACATGGGCCATGCTAATGACTGTTCTTGTGTCTCAGTACTCTATTCCATAGAATACATTTACATACAATGTCAGTTTGGGTGATCTCAAAACTAAACCACTAAGACATGCAAATCACCTGTCAGGTCACCAGTTGTATATTAAGTGCTCAGTAAACATAAGAAGTCGTTAGGATGGAAGAGTATAAACAAAAACACATCTCTCAACTCACAAGGGAAAAGTGATAGTTTATTTTGGATCTAAAGTTGAAGGACCATGGTCTGAGAATGTAGATTTAGATTACACCCAGTTCAATTGTTTCAACATGGAAGCAGTTTCATAAAGTTTTATAGCAACAGAACAACCAAGTCACAAGTCAAGACATTTTTAAAATACCATATTGGAACAGAGGTGGGCTGAAGTCAAGTAGAACAATCTAAACTATAGGCCTCTGATGCAATCTGAGAACATTTTCAACCCTTTGATTGGTGGTCAATCAGCTTTTGTTAAGTTAATATATTCCGAAAGTTTTTACCTATTTATGAGATGTTCTGTCTGACACAGAGGTGGACAAAGAATGGCTCCTTGGAGAGCTAAATATTACCCAAAATACATAGCAATTAACCTCTGGGTCTGAAACAGTGAAACTCTCCACAGTTGCAATCAGCTTCTGCAGACTTAGCTTCTTTCCAGGAATTTTTGTTCACAGGTGTGCTTTTGAGATCATCCCTTTTGTTTTTAAATAGAGCAAACTAGTCTCATATTGACGAAAAAGTACTTTGCCTTAAATCTACATCCAATAATTTAAATGTCTACCTGAAATTGTGCTTGTAATGTCATCTGGGAGCAGGCTCATGTATCTCTTGCAACTACAGTAGCCATGCTTGTTTCATAGGAGAGTCAAATTTTATATAATAGTACAAGTTGTTTTGTAGGCAGAGTCCAACCATAAGCCTATCGAAAGAGTCAACAAGGCATGTGAATCTTGATGTTGACATGTTTGGTGTCACTTGTGGCCATGTAAGATGCTATAATCAATCATTTAGTAGATGAAAGACTTCACTCACTGATTTGTAAAGATAGGGGAAGTGTACTCTTCTTTAAAAGAATGTTGGAATGTTCTCAAAACATTCAGTACCTCACTTGCCCCATAGAAACCAAATATCATTGCATAATATAGTGGTGCTATTTTCAATGACTGTTTGCCTTTCATGAAGTTCTTGGTTGTGAAAATTCAGGACTTTGGGCTTATTTAGCATGCTCTGTGGATCATTTTCTTGTGGATCAATAGGGTCACATGGTACCACAGTTCAGGGACAATAAGGTAATATGATAACAATTTGCCAAGCACCCAGCCCTGGAAAAGCACAGGGGACAGAGGGTGGTTATCTCAAGAGGGTGGGCAAGGTGAGATGGGGCTGGGGTGTGTTGCTGATGGTGAGGACGATGATGGTGGATGGGGCTTATAATGATCATCCTTTGGATACAGAGCTCTGAGCCAGACAACTTACTCTCAGCAGGCTCTTCGGTCATGCTCAGAGGCAAGGGAGGAAGCTGCCATTACTGCTACTTGCTCTTTCTGTACTGAACATACTCTGCCCAGAGGCTTAGAAGTCTTGAACACAAGGCTGCCATCTGGTTGCTTGGGAAAACAGACCATTTGTTTGTATAAAGAAAAACAATCTGTGATGGCTCTACAAAAAAAATTTTTTTTTCATTGAATCGAAACAGGATTAGGCCACACAATAAACACATTCACAGCATGGTTGGGAGAGGGAAGTAACCTGAGGGTTTGGTAAACACACTACTATGAAGCCTAGGAAGCAAGCACTGGAAGCTCAGGTGAAAGGCCGGACCTCATGCTGTAGCTCTCACTTTCCTACCACCTCCTCCCAAGGAGCAAGATCTGTTGCTCTTGGCAGTTTCCACCCAGTTGTGGGATCCCTCTGCCTTGCCTGAGAAGTTTTTTTGTTTTTTTTTCTCCTACGATAATTCTAGAAAGCAGTGTTCAGCTGAATCACAAAGATACCCCACTAGATTATTGTCCAAAGAGTTTGAATAAAATTCTTTTTAGTCCTGTTAAAAAAAAAGAAACAAGTGCTTCTCTCTCTCTCTCTCGTGTGTGTGTGTGTGTGTGTGTGTGTGTGTGTGTGTGTGTGTGTGTATATATATATATATACATTATTCTATATATATTCCATCTCTCATATGTATGCTTTAATTCTTTTATTGTTGACATTTTGGATATGCATAATAGTAAACAGAAAACTGTGCTGTTCTTCTTTGTATCCCTCACTTACTTGTAACAATTGTCAAATCAAGGCAACAGGCTTTGACTTAGGTGATCTACACCTCTTCTTCTATAATCACTTGAAGGAAATCTCAGATCTCACATACACTCACATGCTCTATACCAATGTCTGGGTCAACTACAAACTGTATGTAGGGTCTCATGGGTTATAGCCGAATTGCAGATTTATCACTACATAATGAATGTATAGATTTAAACAAAGCAGGATGACTATAGAGAGACATTCAAGAACACTCACAGGAATGTTGTTTTAAAGTTGACAACAAGGATCTCAACATGGAAAAAAATACCTTTCATTTGTAGAGAGGAGTATCATGCCCCATTTTCTACATTTAGGAATATCAGGAGAACTCACGACAGAGTGACTTCTCCTCGGACAAGCCTCAGGCAAACCTTCAACAGCTGTTCTAGACATGACTATGCCAATCCAGACCATGATCAGGCCAAAGCTAACATTGTGTTTGTATCTATGCTCAGCAACACATACAAAAAAAAATTAAGAATAGACAAAATTTAGAAATAGTTTGGCTATACAATGCGTGCTCTTATTAGTATGAGAAAAGTTTAAAATGCCTGTAATCCCGGAGTGGGAGAAGCAGAGACAGCTTCAAGCCTGAGGTTCCCTGGCCATGGTGGGTGAGCTCCAGGCCAGGGAAAGAGCCTTTCTTCACAAAAAGGGAGAAGGGCTAGTACTTGCAAAATCACACCTGGGTCAAGGTTGTCCTCTGACCTCCACACGTGTCCACCTACACACATACGCATCTGCACACACAGATAAACATACACCAATACAACAAAATATAGAATCTATGCTAAAAACAACTACAGTATGTGATTACATAAAAACATTTAAAAGAACATCACATAGACACACTTCTATTTTTTTCTTTAAATGGTGTGTTTTGGTTTTGGTTTACAGCTCATTCACATCTATATGAAGCGTTTACATTTTGGTGAACAAATTACACATACTTTGGTGTTTTGAAGATTTATTATATTCTCTCTGTGTGTGTGTGTGTGTGTGTGTGTGTGTGTGTGTGTGTGTGTGTGTGTG